ATTTAGAGTTGGGGGCAGTGGTGTTCGCCCTCAAGATATGGCGCCATTATTTGTATGGGGTTCGGTGTACCATATACACGGACCACAAGAGTTTGAAGTATCTGATGGATCAGCCCAACCTGAATATGCGCCGGAGGAGATGGTTGGATGTGGTAAAGGATTACGACTGTGAGATCCTGTACCACCCGGGCAAGGCTAACGTGGTAGCCGATGCTCTGAGCCGCAGGGCGGAGAGTGCCCAGATTCGAGATATATGTATGAGGATGAAGGTGATGACTCCGGTGCTGGATACCATTCGAGAGGCCCAGACAGAGGCTGTGAGACCGGAGAACCACAAGAGGGAGCGAGTGATTGGTCAGGTATCCGAGTTTGTGACGGATAGCCGAGGGCTTATGACCTTTCGTGGTCGGATTTGGGTGTCGTATACGGGCGGGGCATGTAGCACTCTGATGGAGGAGGCGCATAGATCGAGATTTTCGTTTCATCTCGGGGCCACTAAGTTGTATTTGGACCTGAAGAGAGACTACTGGTGGCCCTGTATAAAGAGGGATGTTGCATGGGTAGTAGAGAGGTGCTTAACCTGTCGTCGGGTTAAGGCTGAGCACCAGCGTCCGCATGGCAAATTGCAGGCATTAGAGGTTCCCCAGTGGAAGTGGGAACATATTTCTATGGATTTTATCACCAAATTGCCGAGGACCGCGAGAGGTGTTGATGCAATTTTAGTGATTGTGGACCGGCTGACGAAGAGCGCTCACTTCCTTGCTATCAGTGAGAGCTCTTCTGCAGAGAGGCTGGCAAAGATATATGTGAGGGAGATGGTGTCGCGGCATGGAGTGCCGATCTCGATTGTGTCAGACCGAGATGTACGTTTCACTTCCAGGTTGTGGAAGAAGTTCCATGAGGAGTTCGGTACGAGATTGCATTTCAGTACTGCTTACCACCCACAGACGGATGGAAAGAGTGAGCGGACGATACAGACGCTCGAGGACATGCTTCGAGCATGTGTTATGGACTTCGGTGGAAGTTGGGATACATACCTACATTTGGCTGAGTTTTCCTACAACAACAGCCACCACTCGAGTATTGGTATGCCTCCCTTTGAGCTGTTATACGGGAGGAGGTGTAGGACCCCCGTCTGTTGGGGAGAGGTAGGATAGCGAGTGATGGGTAGCACTGAGATAGTGCTTAAGACGACTGAGCAGATTGAGCAGGTCCGACAGAGATTACTGACAACCCAGAGTCGCCAGAAGAGTTACGCGGATAGGCGACGATCCGAGCTCGAGTTCCAGGTTGGACATTTCGTACTCCTGAAGGTATCTCCTTGGAAAGGAGTGATCCGATTCAGTAAGAGGGGCAAGCTGGGGCCCCGATACATTGGTCCGTTTAGGCTGACCGCGAGAGTGGGGAAGGTAGCATACCGTTTAGAGCTACCTGCGGAGTTGAGCCAGATTCATGATACCTTCCACGTATCCCAGTTGAGGAAGTGTATAGCCGATGAGACGACAGTAGTACCGCTAGAGGATGTTCAGGTGGATGATAGCCTGAATTACACTGAGAGGCCGATTGCGATCTTGGATCAAAAGATCAAGGTTCTGAGGAACAAGGAGGTGCCTCTGGTTCAGGTCTAGTGGTAACATCGAAGAGGGTCCGAGCTGACTTGGGAGCCGAAGACGGAGATGCGGGAGCAGCATCCAGAGTTGTTTGCAGAGTAAGACTTCGAGAGCGAAGTCTGATTCTAGTGGGGGAGAATTGTATCATCCGGATTTCCAGGTATGATAAAATGAGCATTATTTTCTAAGTTATGAGGAGTGACTCGACGAGTTGGCGCCTTAACTCATCGAGTAGGACCGCAACTTGGTGACGTGGAAAATGAATGGACTCGACGAGTCGACATGCTGAATCACCAAGTCAGCACTGTTGGCAGAAACCCTAATTCTTTCGGGCTTGGGCCTATTTAAAGGCACTTATAGCCTCCTTGGCCCTTCCCACCAGTGTCTTCGTCCCTTGAGAGAAACCCTAGAGTTATAGTGAGCTAGAGAGGGTAAGAGACTAATTGAAGGCCATTTCCTTGAAGAAGAAGAAGAGCAAGAGTGTTGCAAGGATCTCAGAGGAGAGTTAGTGGATCTGCTTCATCTCCATTCAAGCTTCAGATCTGGTACAAGTTCTTGCCTCCCTAGTGTTTGAATAAATTTCCTTTGGTTGATGAGTTAGGTCTTGTATCACCATTTGATGGGGTTTTGGGTGCATCCAAACCCCTTTTCGGGCTATTTTGTAGATCTGGACCTTGTGAGGTCCTCAGAACCAGAAAGTAGGTAGCTTTGAGTGAGTCACTTTGGAACTTTGAAGCTATGAAGCTTCAATGGAGTCATAATGGTGTATGGAGCAAAATACACCATGCATGAGCCTCAAGTTCAGACCTTTACGTGATTTTTGGGTGTTAGAAGGCCAAATCTATAAGTTAGAGAAGCAGATCTGACCTCAGAAGGTCAAATGAGTGTTGCCATGGAGGAAACTCGCCGAGTCCATAAGAGGACGCGACGTGTCGGATCAGGTTGCCCCGCGATTCGTGATCAATGGTAACCCGTCGAGTGAAAGGTTAACTCAACGAGTCGAGTGAGGACTTAGAAGGATTTCGAGGACACACATGGACTCGCTTAGTCACCTTAGTGCACTCGGCGATTCTGGTCAAGGTTGGACCGTTGACTGGAGTTGACTTCAGTTGACCTCAGGGTTTGGTAAAACTGACTCAAGAGAGGCCATGGAGGGGTAGATTCGTCTTCTACCCATTCCTTAGAGATGAGAATATAAGAGAGTCTTGATTAGAGATATTATCATTTTGATAGGCGGATGCTAGATCGAGGATATCGAGCACGAGAGTTTACTAGACATCATACGAGGCGAGTCTTCTCACTATACATTACCTAGAGTGGTATTTATGTGTAGACCGGAGGGTCTTATGTGTTATGTGTATGATTGAGATTATGTGCATTGTGTGATGTGTATGCTATGTGTTATATAGACCGGACCGGAGGGTCCAATGACTTACGAGGCCAGAGGGTCCTCGATTAGACCAGATGGGAGGGTCTAATGATTTAGACCGGACCGAAAAGTCCAACGAGCTAGACCGGACCGGAGGGCCCAACGAGCTACGGTACTGGAGGGTCCCGCTGAGACACATCGACCGGAGGGTCGTACCGAGTTATAGCCTCGAGTGGCGCATGTGTTGTATGTGGTATTTTGGGGAACTCACTAAGCATTTATACTTACCGTGTTATGTGATATGTGTTTCACGTAGTAGCGAGGATCGCGGGAAGGCGCCGACATGATTTGTACACACTGACAGAGGATTTTGTATTTGAGATTCTGGGATATGTTTTACTGTGATAACATTGTTACACTTGAGTTGAGATGATGTATATGAGATATGTGGTGTTTGAAAAATGAAAAATTGTTTTGAAAATTTACGTCATTACAATGCTACTCTCGGGTCAAGTACATACAAATTGTAGTTATGGGCTTAGACACCTAATCCAACAGTCTCCCACTTGGATAAGTCTAATAACTATTATTTCAAGTACGACTCCACAACTCGACTAGCAATCGTAACTCTTAAAAGCCGTTGTCGAACTCTGACCTAGTCAATGACGCGTCCATTAGATAAGGGATCATATATTCCTCCATTATATCAAATGGACTGAGACATTGATTATAATCATTCTCTCTGTCCATCTGCTGTTTCCCGATTTCCGATTTATGACGGCCGACTAATTGAACAAATCAAATCAGTCCAGGCTTGGCCAAGCACTTAGGAGTGTCATCACTAAATCATCGAGGGGCCCACATATATCGCTTTTATCCACATGGGGTAAAAGGAACGGATAAACTTCGACCCAAATGCTTGCTTGTACTTACTCATGAAATTACACACAACGATATGTTTTATAACATCCACTACAAGAAAAAGACCATTTTACGACGCGTAAACCACGACACTCATTGATTTATGTTACGCAAAAGAGAGTGACATTAAAAAAGTGTCATCTCTTCAAAAAATTGAAGGATTTATGTCACACATTATTGTGTGCCCTTAAATTAGTGTCTCTAGAAAAGAAATTAAAAACACAGAGGGCACTTTATTTTAAACGCGCGTCCTCTATACCTGTCGCTTTTTAATTTTAATGAAAGGCGCGTTTAGTACAGGGGGAAACGAAATCCCCAAAATTTTGAAAACCCGTCTTCTACCTTCTTTCTATCTTTCATCTTCGCAGTCTACTCTCCTCTCTCCCTCCTACTCTCTTCTCTCCGATTCGCTTCTCCGCCACTCCTTAATACCTTGCAGGAATCTAAAAACTAGAAAACCCCGTCCTCACAAAGTCTACGAAACTAGGGTTTTTTAATCCCTCAAAGAACGACCCACATCCTCCATAGATCGATCTCTATCGCTTCATTTCTCACAAGATATCGAAAACTTTACATTCATAGGGCCACAAAATCGACTATTGCTTGAACTAGGGTTTAAAGTTCGTATCACATAACCCTCCGTCAATCTGTTCTCCCTGTTCAATCGATTTGCTGGTTTTGCTCGACTCCCGCTCACGCCGACCATAGATGTTCAATCGTTGACCATCACCGCAACTATAAGTCTTTATCTTCAAGTCTTTATCGAAGGTTTAGTCGAAGGTTCATCTGTTATGTAAGTCTTTATCGATGTTCAATCATCGCTCACGCCGACCATCGATGTTCAATCGATTTGCGTGTACTCAGAACTCGGGAAGACTGTAGACGCGGGTGAAGGCGAAGAAAGAGAGAGGGAGACTCTGCACTTCTCCATCGATGACGTCCGATGAAACTAAGTAAGTCTTACATCTTGTTTTCTCTTTGGAGTTCCATTTTAGTTTACACCTGGAAAGAAATTAACAATATGATATTTTCATTATTGTTAGGGTTGTGCACAGAAATGGAGAAGATATGCGTAGCAGTGAAAGTATAAGAAAGGCATAATGCCTCCTTCCCAGGATTTCAATGCTTGGTACCTCGATGTCATTTCCCAGGCTGAGCTTGCTGATTACGGCCCTGTTCGTGGTACCATGGTTATTCGACCATACGATTATGCCATTTGGGAAGCTATTCAGGTAGGTCTTTTGTTTGTTCTGAGACAAACTTGTTAAGCTCTAGCCGTTCGATTTTGATTTTTTACCTTTTTCCAAATTTAACCTAGATTTTCTCATCTGCTTTTCTATTTTTTGAGTGGTTTCCCATGGACAACTGTTCACGCTCTCTTTTCAATCTCTCATTCACCCGCTGGATAACATTTGCTGCTTTTGATGTAATGGAAGGGTCTGTGTTACAGAAGCTATATGTGTTTGTGTTGTTTGATGAATGATATTTCTTTATTGAATCCTGATGATGTTGGTGTTGGTGTGCAACCGATTTCTTAAAAGTAACAGGTGGTGCACTCTCTTTAGCCAAAAAAGGCTCCTGACAATTGGGACATAGGAGTGTTTGATTTAGGTATATTTTTAGGTATTCATATTGCATCCTGCATCCATGGCAAACAGTCCAAAAAGTAGTGGTGGAGCTGTGGAACTTTTATACTTTTGAAGTTGCACGCTTTGCAAAACTGTTTACACCAGCGCCAGGGGAATCTGATGGAACTTTCTTCCTTTGGTTATAGGTTGACACCGAGTATCCCATACCAATCGACTTCACCATTTACCTTGTTTTCTGCAGATATGTACACATCAACAATGGTGGACATCTGAGAGATGCCATCAAGATCAGAACACAGGGTTTGGGCCTTTATTGTATATTTCTTTGAAGCAGCAAAATTTTTATCAGCCAATTTCTTCTCAGCGAGTCTTTTTGCCCTAATGGCCTCATCCCTCTTGCGTTTCATGGCCGAACCTCAATTTTTCACCTGTCTTTCTCTCCTCGGGAAAGGGTGCAAAAGGGCTACAACACAACAACTACTAAACGTTGAGACTTGAGGGCTTTCCTTTGGTATACAGGTGGTTGTCACAACCAGTCAACATACCTGCTGAAGAGCTAAATTAGGGAAAGTGATTTTTGTGTATGTAAATTGGAAATTAATGATTTAAAATGAATGAGACTAATCCCATCATTAGATTTAGCAATGAAGACTAGATGTATTGGAAATGAATGATTTAAAATAAAACAGACTAATCTCATCATTAGACACTTATTGTAATCATTGACAGAAAGGGTGACACCATTACTAGATGACTACATGCAAGGTAATGTTACCCCAAGAAATGACTTACACAATGCACTATCCCTATGTTGTTTGATGAGCGGGCATGGAATCAAACAACTAAGAACTGGATGGGCAGATGGGCCAGCATATGTCACCCAGTGTCCCATAAGACTTTGGTCAGTCTTATACATACAAGTTCACAGTTAGTGGTCAAAGAGGAACCCTTTGGTGGCATGCTCACATTGCTTGGCAGCGACCAACCATCTATGGTGCAATTATCATATACCCTCATATGCCTTACACATTCTCAACTCCAATCGAAGCGGAAATCCCTATAATATTCGGTAATACTTATTCTTCGTTATATTTTGATCTTTCTTTCGATATGTATACATAACAATCTAGTGACTGATCCTTGTTTATATTTGCCAGGTGAATGGTGGAATTTACCTGTTGAAGGAATAGAAACTGAAATGAAACAGTATGGTAATGGTCATAACTCATCAGATGCTTATATAATTAATGGTTTGCCTAGATCACTCTACCGATGCTCTATTACAGGTAAATTAAAATCATAATATTACTTGTTGAAATGACATAACACCACTCTTAATTAATTAAAAGTAATATATTTTAAAAACATCCGTTTGTCATGTATTCCACGTTGCAAATGATTTGAAGATGTTAGCCACCATGTACCATCCTGTAATTAAAGTTATATAGACTAAATGAAACCAAACTGGTGACATGATTTTAAAATAACGATATCTAGTTGTATTCTGGTTTCAAATAATACCTATGATTTGGTTGAATTTGTGTCGTCTATTCTGAGTAGTAGCAGCACACTTTTTTTTTCTATGATATGCTTTACTTTTATTTTTATTCACAAAGCATTTTTGAGTTGGTAGATCAACCACGCACTTACTAGCCTGGGTTAGAGTCCTGATCAGAAAAAATAAAAATAAATAAATAAATAAATAAAAATCATATATATTTTAGAACATTAATTAGACAATCTAAAATCATATATACCCCTCTGTTCCTAAAACCTATGCTTATTTTTCATCTTCAAGAATTTATGTGCTTTTTTATCAAAACAAAAAGGTTGAATATTTCATAGAAATGCCTTCAGAACTTATTTGGTATGCCTGATAATTTTATATAAAAATTATATTTGTTATTTAGTCAATTATTTTATTGAACAATTTAGTTGTTCCATGGTTGTTTTTTTTATCAACTCTAGATTTCATATTCATATACACATTCTTAATGTAATTTCTCTTCTTTTGCTCCACATTTCATCACCGTAGTTATTGATTTTTTGTTGTTTTAGTGGCAGATAAATTGAAGACAGGAAAGTGGAATGTTAACTTATTACAGATAGTAATCATTGGTATGTTTTTATCTAACAATTTAAGGGCATATTTTGTATTTGTGGTTGTGTATAGGTATGGAGAATGCCAAAATTGTGGGTTGGATTTCTGAAATGCATTTCACAAACACAACCACAACCACATTCTTTTCGTGTTTTATTAAAAGTAAGTATGTCCCCTTGTTCACTTTCACTTTCATATTTTGTATTTGATTCTTTTTGGTGTATATTAAGCAAACTGAAGCAGTATAATATAATATAATAGAAAGTGTTGCTTTTTTTTGGGAAAGTAGCACTATTTCACTCTTTCATATTAACTTTTATAATCTACATGTGTATTATATTTTAATATTTTATACAGCTATGGGCTGTATTGAAGCTTGGATTCTTGGAAAAATGTATGTTACTACATGTGTATTAAATTTTAAAATTTTATAACATAGATTGATGATGCTTAAAGCCTTTCTGAATACTAATGTGTTGATGATGAAAACAGGTATCATGTGGAAACAGAAACATAACAATAAGAAGTAGAAACAAGAAGGTGTTCCTTAATAGCAATCTCGTATTAGGTTATATAGTTAGGGAAAACCTCTTAATAACAATGTACAATCGGATCCCCTTAATACCAATGTATTACAATTTTTTGACATGATGTTATGGATGAAATTGATTGTTTGGTTATATATCTGTTTCCATATTTTTGTATTATGCATAAATGAGTATCGTAAAGACGCGTCATAAATGTATATCGTAAATGGTTGCTGAAGTTTATGACACGTAAATGCGTGTCATCTTCATTTATGACAGTGTCTTTAATGATACGCAATGTGTGTCCTAAACGTACGTTGTAACGTTAAGACACGCAAATGCGTGTCGTCTTCCTTTATGACAGGGGCTTCCTTGATACGCATTACGCGTCATAAATGCAAGTCGTAAATACATGTCACAAATGACCGTCGTAAATGCGTGTCGTCTATAGACGACGCACAAAAGCGTGTCGTCTCTCGTTATGACAGGGCCTTCCTTTACACGTATTTGTGCGTCGTCTGAGCGTTTTACGACACGCATTGTGCGTTGTAAAAGGTTGTTTTTCTAGTAGTGATACAAGTCACTGGTGCGTTTACATATGTCAATGTGCAACCGACTTGTAACTACAACTCGCATGTCTCCGTTTCAAGAATATAAGATATTATCGTCTCATGGTCACTCGTGATAAAATCCATGAAGTGATTCAGATGAGTGTGGGTTGAATCTAATACTCAAATCTTGTTCCAGGAGTACTCATGAACACTGCAGCCACTTCTGATATGACTAAAACACCTCTACAGACCCATTCATGACAGTCTTGCCTCAATAGCTACTTCCAAAGTATGATCGACTGTGGATAGTTTGAATAACCTAGTTATTCGAGAAGTCAAAACATGCAAAGTGAAACACAAGAATAATCGAATCCAATATGGTCTCAGAAGTTATGAATATAAATAAAACACCTTTTATTTAATCACCATATTGATTACACATTATTCATTGTATAATGTTTCGATTTATCAACTTAATACTTGAATTAGAACAATAGCTATGCCATGCTCCAAACATGCACATTATGTTTCTCTATGGTCCTGACTTTGTGAAATAGATCAATTGAAGAACATTTCAATGATGCTCATTTCACAATTCCAAATCTTTTTTGCAAGTGTAAGAATTCCAAATTCTTGCCACTGCTAAACTATCATGCAATACAACCTTTGTAATGTCATGGTAGCAAAAGTCACAGAGACTTGACCAACGATATTACAAAACTTTCCACTGGAGATTCATAACAAATCAATTCCAAGGAAACGAAGTCTCAAATTCAAAGTACATTCCTTTGAACATCCTTCTTACATTAACTTTCCAAATCTTACACAAATTTAAAGAATAACTTCCACTGATGGAAACATTTCCATATTCCCATTTTGACTATCACTTCTGAACAAGAGTTGCCTCTTTTCAGAATATGTCAATATGGTCCATCCATTTTATACTTCCAACTACAAGTGACCAACCCTTCGCGAACCTTAGATTGTCCTTAATAGTTGTTAACCACTTTAGTCATATCCAGTTCTAGTCCTTTTTTTCCTCTTAATGCCCTAGACATTTGGAAAATTTAGAACGCGAGAATATTATAGCATATGCAATCGATCCTATAACCGAAGAATATGGGATGCGATTCATAATGTCTAACATAAAGACATGATACTTGATCAGCCTTGTGCTATAATATTTCTATTTGCCATGTTCTCATAGTTTTGATTATGAAGAGGTATGTCGTAATCATAATCAAATTTTGAGAACGCAATTAACATTTCCATATATAGGATTTCCTTATGTTGAACCATTCCAACATAACATTCATATATATATGACTAAATTTGATTAAAAACTCAATCTAAGCTTTTTAGATTTTGAAATGAAGTATAAATTCCTTTCCCTTAATTATAGCAAAACAACTTTTCAAATCCACAACTTTGCGAATTGAAACTTTTGTTTTCTATAATTAACATTGCTAACTTGCAACACTTACCATAATAATTATGCTCCCAATAGCATAATAATTATTATCTTACTAGCATAACACTTATGCTTCCACTAGCTTTGACATGTACCCAGAAATCAGTTGGACTTCTAGAAATCAATACTTATTGACTTTCATTACCAAAGTTCAGATTTCTGATACGAGATGCTTCGATAAGACTTTATATAGGTTTCTCAAACTCATACACCTTTCCTTAGATAGCCCACATGTGTGTCTTAACAATTTTAGAACTTACAGCAATAAGTTTCAAATGTTTAGTCCTTTTCCGTTTCTCACAATTCGAACTATGAAGAGGGATCTGTAATCATAATCGAATTTGAGAATGCAAATATCACAAATGCTATCTCCTTAAAATCTACTTAGTGAAAGCGTTTCCTCACAATCATTTTCATGAATTGGATAGAAACCTTATGACACTTATATTTTATGGTGTATGTGTTCCTATCCATGTGAATTTGTCATAACCATAATCACAAGACATGGTTAGTGACAAATCCAAACCCATATGGACTGAACTTGTTCAATCTTAATTTCTGGCCACTTGGTAGCTCAATGGCCTACCATTGCTTCCAAGTTGTTATGTAAACAACTGAGAACTCATAGAACTCACATGCATTGTCAACTTAACTGGAATGGGCACAGAAACAAGAATATGTCAATAGGATAGGTTACAAACCTCAAGTCGTGTGCTAGTGATTCACAATAGGTTTACTCTTGATTAGTTCTTGAAACTTTCAAGATCTTTAAGGCTCCCACTGACCTCTTGATATATAAGATTCACTTTGTCAAGGAACATTACTTGACAAACAAATATTCAAGAGTTAGTGTGGTTTCTTATCAAGACAAACACTTCACACAATTGGCCTTAGTTGATCTTTGTCTTATCCAAGACATCACAACTTACCAATTTCAAATGTACAAGAGTATAAAACATTTTACTCTACATTTGATAAGTATTATAAACCTTTCTTAAGATTATGTCACTCAAGGCTCAATCTTGGAGTATGACTCTAAGACCCGATTTGGAACGAAGTATGATTCACCTTTTTGATTTAACCATTCCAACAATTCACGATTCTTCTTCTTAGCCACATAAATGCACTAAGATGTCCTTAGAGAATCAATTGTGATATGGTTTCATAATCACTAAGATAATCATAAAACACGATTCTCAAGTACTCTTCCATCTTTTCAGATTGGAGAAACTTTTATCTTTCTGCCTAATTTGATTCTTCTCATTCGTTTTGCCATACATTGATACCTTTCCAATGTTCCAGAATTATACTTAATCTTGTAAGCATAACCATATTTACTAAACTTTAGTAAATCATGATGAATAGTCTTATCATTCCTTGTGGTGGACCTGACCAGCGTACACCCAGTGTACCAGATCCCCTAGTCCGTCACTTGACTCACACATTCATGTGAACAAGGAATTAGTCTTAATTTTCCAAAGATAAAGGTTCTCACTCATCACACAATAAAAGTTTCATGATTCCAAGTTTCTATCCAACTGAAATTTGGATGATTAGAATCTTTCCTTATTTGGTAAATTATGACACAACCACAAACCAAAGAATCAAATCAATTTTCCAATATTGCTATTAATGGAAACATATAAGAAACAAATTTTCACAAATGTCATTGTAAGGAAATTTTAATATTAAGATGAATTTCAAAATTTTTCTTTATTTATAAAAATTGCAGAAAACTTATCCTTACAATGCAAATACAAGTGAAAATATGTTGTTATCTATTCCTAAGAAATCTATCATAACTCTTAAGCAGCAACTCACAAATCTGATCATCGAACCATGCGATCGAAATCCATCTCTTCTCAATCAGACTCAACATACTCTTCCGTTAAGCTTCCTTTCATTTCTTCGATTCTTCAAAACATCAAAATGTAATTACATTACATCATGTATTGACAATCTCCAAATAGGAACTTAATAGGGTTAGACAGTGGATCTTACTTGAAGTAGAGTCAAACTTTTGACTTTACCATCCTTGCAATCTTTCAGGTAAATATGGCAGCTTCGTAACCAATGCCCCTTCTCTTGGCATCAGAAAAGTATGGACACTTTGGGAATGCTACATGGGACTATCTCAGACTTAGACTTTCTCTTTACCATTTGGTACAATGACTTGACCATGGTCGATCCCTTCCCATTGGGAAGAGAAAGCTTTTCTAGACTTTCAATGTTACCATTGTCACTGTCCATGGATGTTTGGAGACTAGATCTTCCAATCAAATTGCTTTACCAGTGCGCCAAATGATTGCTGATTCAGCAGCAACAAGCAAATATGTTAAGATCAATAAGGGTCATGTCATGATCTCCCATATAGTAGTCCTTACAGAACCCGCTATATGAGTTAGGAAGTGATTGAAGAACCCAGTCAACAGCCAACTTCGTTGAGACTTCGACACCCAACTCTCCCAGCTTGTCAATATGTAACTTCATCTCCAAGACGTGAGCACATACAAACTTTCCTTCCTGCCAATAGGGCATTGAGTGACCTTGAACTTGTGGGTTAGGGAGAATAATTGGAGGAGGGGGAGGAAGTGAAGCTCCACTACAACACGAATAAGGGATTAATCTTTCACCTTAATCGCCTTGCGGAAAATAATCTTTATAAAGAAAGTTTATTCAAAAGATTTGGGAAGACTATAGTTGTCTGAACTAGACATATATAATGGGAGAAATTCAAGTTTAGTTGATTTTAGTCCTTAATATAACACCCAACATGAAATATTAAGGCTAGCACCCAACACAATATTTTACAATTCGGAAGAGGGATGCCGTAATCCGAATGTAAAATATGTGAAGGTAGGTAAATGACAATTTACCAATTTCCATTATGAAATATGAATTTGATTATTAAGTTTTAAATGGATTGAAATTCCTAGATCCTTTGAGATTCATTGATTTTAATCAATGG